CTTTGGTACATATATAAAATGGAATATTAGCCATAAGAAGAGACGAAATACTGACATTTGCTACAACATGGATGGACCTTGAGATGATCATGCTAAGCGATATAAGGCAGACAGAAAAAGTTGAAAATCACATGATATCACTTATATGTGGGATATAAATCTACAAGCAGCAAATGAGCAGAACAAACAAACAGAGACTCATGGACATGGACAGTAGACTAGTGGTTACCAGAGGGAAGGGGGAAGTGGGGAGGGGAGAGAAAAAAAAGTTGTAGTTGGACTTCAGGGAAATGGACACCAACCTTCTGAGCGACTACATAGGAGCAAATGAACATCCCAAGAAACTGTCACTGACAGAGGAGACATGAGGTTCTATGGATATTTTATATAAGGAAAAATTGTAAAAACAAACCCTTCCTCCTCTCCCTGCCCCTGCAAAAAAAAATCCCACAGATTTTACAATGTAAAACTCAAATAAAAAATTATAAGATCTAGTACTCAAAGTCGAAGGTGATTTACAATCAAGATGCCTCCCACATGGACTGCCTTCTAAGAAGATCAGCTATGGAGCATTGTAAATTTAACTATGGTGATGATAATACCCAGATTCAGAATATAACATTTTTGATCATATTGATAGATATGTCAATGGAGCACAAGAGTCAGAGTCTGCTTTGGCTAGAAATACATGGCAAAGATTTATTCAAGGGCCTTAGGGATTTGCAAACTAGAAACACAACTAAGCAATACCCAGAGTGTTCTTAAGAAGAATGTAAAGGCAGATATTCTCAGAGTAAAAACTACAATCTTGAGAAAAACAATGAATCCTGCATTTTTAACTCACAGAATGACTCAGGATGGTAATCTTCCAGATGTCCAGTGGTCTGGGTAATGGATGCCAAGTGGTCTAGATAATGAAACATTATTTCTTAAACACGACAAGTGGTTGTCTATGAGATTAAACATTTCTAGCACATAAAAATTATTTCTTCAGCCCTTCAGAGGTTTATCTATAAAATTTAGATACATCCAGGCACTGCCACACAACTGAAATTTCAAAAGTTTAAGTTCCTAGGCTATTTAAATGAAGAATAGAATTGTTTCCTCATGTCTCAGCCTACTTGATTTTAATAATTTAGCAGCTTTACTATAGTGTCTTCATTTCATTTTTTCCCTCGTTTCCTCAGATGATATAAAGCTATATGATGAAATTTTACATATGTGACTATTTTTCAATTAAGAAAATTATTTGTTTATTATATACTAGGAATAGAGTCAAAATACAGGGTGACTATATGACTTTTCACCCAAACTGAATCATTTTTAATACTAATAATGACAACTCTGGAACTGTATCAGGTAAAAAAAGACCTAGTAACTCTCAGATATAACAATACCATCAGAGAAAATTAAAGAGAGAAATGAGAAAAAGCTAATATAGAAAATGAGAAAATTTTAACATTTAAAATAATAAATTTCCAAAATAAAAATAATACTGGCCATGAAAATATACTTCAATAAGCTGTGAGCCTTTTCTACTGCACAGTGCCCAAATAGGAACTGCATACATTTACTCCAAAGGCTTTAGCTACACACCCCTGCCCCCACCATGTTTCATAACATCTACTCTAAGTGACATAGCAAGATAAAACCTATATTTTACACCTTTCTCTAGGGCATGATATTTTACATAATTTCCAGAAATAATTATGTGTTCATATTAAATTTTAAGTCTTGGAGAGTCATCTAACTTTTTGTCTTGTTCTTAGAAAGAAAATCCTGTTCTTATTACAAGATCTTAGGCCCTGAAGACAAATAAGGACCATAAAACACAGAGGAGGTTTTATTTTACAAACATTGGAGAAAAGCTCCTCTGGGGCTGAATCCAAAGTTACTCCTGATGTGAACACCCAAGAGGAACTGAGACCTACAGAGATACTGGCTCTGCAGCTGCAAGCCCATACCAGACCAATCCCTCACTGATTTGCATGTTTTCCCCAGAGTACATTTCTGCTCTTCAGAATTCTCATTAAAAAGCCTGCTCAGTGATTCTAAGAAGGTGGAGGGAAGCCTCAGGCACTACCTGGATTGAACATGGGTGTCTTGATTCAACTCTTCTGCCTTCTGTTGTTCTGGCTCCCAGGTGAGGAAGGGCCCACAGGAATATCCCTGAGATGATGGAAATTCTTTCTTCCTAACTAACTGTAAGGTCTTCCAGAGTCTTTGTGGATCTCTTCTCAGAGACCCAAGTGCTTTCAAGATGGGGAACAAGGGCAGCTAGAATCTCCTGGGAGGAAAATGGAACAAGATCTAGTTAACAATGGTGACTTTTGTGTTTTGCTTCCTTTTCAGCTTCCAATGGGAACATCATGTTGACCCAGTCTCCAAACCTCCTTTCTGTGTCTCTAAGAGAGAGTGCCTCCATCATTTGCACAGCTAATCAGAGCGTCAGTGATTACCTAACGTGGTATCAGCAGAAACCAGGCCAGGCCCCTAAAATTCTCATCTATGATGCTGATAACCTATATTCTGGTGTCTCAAATAGGTTTAGTGGAATTCAGTCTGGGACAAAATTTATTCTCACAATCAGCAAGATAGAGCCTGATGATGCTGCCAGTTATTACTGCCAGCAGGGTTATACAGTTCCTGTCACAGTATTACAGCCCTGAACATAAATCATCCTCCCAGGCTGATTGTGTGGTGAGGGTAGGTGTTTCCAGCAGCTGCAGTTTCCCTTGTGGTCTTTTTATTTGTGCAGGATCTATTTGGGAAGAGTCTGCAGGGTTCATATAAAAATTACAGTAGCAATAGTTAGTATTGTCAAACCTTTTATTATATTCATATTGGTAGATCCTGAAATGGTATTGTGGTTCAAGTTTACATTTCTCTGATGATTAGTGATGTTGAGTAACTTCTCATATATTTATATTTCATTAGCTATTTAGATATCTTCTTTCATGAAAAGTTCTTGTTCAAACCATATTTTGGTTTTTTTGAAGAGTTCCTTATATATCTTTTTTCTCAATCAAAAAGTTAAAAAAAAAATTTCAACTAGAGTTAACATTTAATGTTATATTAGTTTCAGTTGTAGAACATAGTGGTTACACATTTATACAATTTACGAAATGATCCCCCTGATAAGTCTAGTACCCACCTGGTACCATATACATAGTTATTGCAATATTATTGACTACTCCCTATGCTGTATTTCATATCCCCATGACTATTTTTAACTGCTAATTTGTATTTCTTAATCTTTTCACTTTTTTTTTAACCTGGCCTACAAAACCCTTCCAACTGGCAATCATCAGTTTGTTCTCTGCATCTATGAGTTTATTCATTTTTCAGATTCCACATATAAGTGAAATCATATGGTATTTGTCTTTCTCAGTATAACCTATTTTACTCAACATAATACCCTCTAGGTCCATCCATGTTGTTGCAAATGGTAAGATTTCATTCTTTCTCATGGATGAATAATATTCTATTTTATATATGTACCACATCTTCTTTATCCATTTGTCTTTTGTTTGGAGAATTTAGTTCATTTACATTAAAAGTAATTATTGATAGCTATGTAGTTATTGCAATTTTATTAATTGTTTTCTTATGGTTTTTGTAGTTATCTGTTTCTTTTTTATTCTCTTACCCTCTTCTCGTGTGTGTTGGTGACTTTCTGTAGTATTGTGTTTGAATTGCTTTCTGTTTATTTCTTGTAGATTTTGGGTTTGTGGTTACCATGTTCTTATATACCAAACTATGTTTATGTCAGTCTATTTTAAATTGATGGTTGCTTAGGATCAAACACATTCTAAACTCAACCCCTCCACATTTGTGTTTTTGTCATTATTTTTTACTTTTTTGAAGGCGGTGTGTCTATATGTATCACTTAATTTACTGTTGTAATTGCACATGATTTTCTTACTTTTGTCTTTGAATCTTTTTACTGGCTTTACTGTTGGTTGATCTACCATTATTATTATGTGTTTGCCTTCATCAATAAAAAAAATTGCCATATTTTCTTATTCATATTTTTATTTTTTTTTCTTATTCTTAAAGGAGTCATTTCTCATAATATGTGTTTCTCATAATATGGGTTTGGTGGTGATGAACTCCTTTAGCTTTTTCCTGTCTGGAAAGCTCTTAATCTCTCCTTCAGTTCTAAATGATAGCCTTGTAGGGTAGAATAATCTTGATTATAGGTCCTTGCTTTTCATCACTTGGAATATTTCATACCAATCTCTTCTGGCCAGCAAAGTTTCTGTTGAGAAATCATCTGACAATCTTATGGAAGCTCCCTTGTAGATAAGTTACTACTTTTCTCTTGCTGTTTCTAATATTTTCTCTTTGTCTTTAACCATTGGCATTTTAATTGTGATGTGTCTTGGTGTGGGCCTCTTTGGGTTTATCTCATTTGGGACTTTCTACTCTTCCTGGATTTGTATATCTAATTCCTTCACCAGATTAGGAAAGTTTTCAGTAATTATTTCCTCAAATAGATTTTTAATTCCTCTCTTCACCTGCTAGCACTCGAATGATGTGAATGTTGTTATGCTTGATGTTGTCCCAGAGGTCCTTTAAACTACCTTCATTTTAAAAATTCTTTTCTCATTTTGCTGTTACAAATGAGTGTTTTCTACTACCTTGTCTTCCAAATCTCTGATTCAGTCCTCTGTTTCACATAATCTGATATTGATTTTATCTAATGTATTCTTCATTTCAGTT